TAATCTTACTTCTCTGTTGGTTTATTCCGGTCTTCAGCTGTCTCTATGCAAAAGCACTTCCTTTTATTGTGTGGGCCCCGCGTTTCTGCCCAAGCCCTCAGGAGGGTCTGCACTGAGTGCAGCCAGAATAAACCCATGATGACAACGGGATATTAAGTGATACTATTCTTTTAATTAATTTATTTGAAAGCTTTAATTTGTTGTTTGTTTGTTTATATGTTGTTGGTTTTTTGGTTTTTTTTTTGGTGCATGTTTGTGTAAAACTTTTCAAAGGCGCATAAAAATAGAGAAAATATACAATGAACTAAATGGAACCATCACCCATCATTTTCTGCCATTCTTGTTTAATCTAATACCCCTGGGTATGTTTGTTTATTTTAAAGCAAATCACAGCTACTATATTTTACTTGTAAATAATTCTGTATGTTTCTCTAAGAGGTAAGAAAAAAAATTCACACACACAATGCATAAAATTAGCTATTATGATTTAACAGCATCTACTATTCAGGCATGTTCTATATTCACAAACTTACTTTGTTCTCTGTTTATGGTTAATTTGTTTAAAAGCAAAACCAAAAAACCTACAGTGTCCTAGAAATGTGCCACAGCACTCTTGGTGTGTGTATCTCCACCACCCCTTGTGGGCTCTCGCTGTAGGTACGGCCTTGACAGACAATCTCCCACCCGCCCTCGGCATGCCCCAGAGGGAGGAGCCGGCGTCTCCGTCTCCCCAGTCAGTGTAGTAAGAATGTTCAGAGGGCTTGCCTCAACTTGCACGATTTCACTAGGACCCAGGCTTCGAAGTCATTCCTCTTCTGTGCTGGTCTCTCTTCCTCCTCTAAGTCAGTCGGATCCTGGCCGACTTCCTGTCTGCCACCCTTAGCCCACCCTTAGCTCTGTCGCTGCTTCTCCTGTCTTTCGTCCTGTTGGGGTGTTTGGCAAATCCAGACCTGGAAGCTGGGTATCTCCCTTCCCCCAGGCTGGTTAGATGCTGATTAACCCCCAGCAGGTGAGGCTTTGGTTGTATCATTTCCAATAAGGGCAGACCTTGTTAAGGAGAAACGCACACTCTGGTGTATTTTATTTATTTTTTTTTTAATCCTCACCTGAGGACATTTCTCCATTTTTTTATTCAGACAGAGCGGGAGGGAGAGGGAGGAAGAGAAAGAAACATCGACGTGAAAGGGACACATCGAGTGGCTGCCACCCTCACAACCCAACCAGGGCCGGGGACAAATTGCAACCCAAGTACATAAGGGAACCGAACCTGGGTCTCCCTGGACCACAGGGTGACGCTCTAACCACTGAGCCAAACTGGCCAGGGCCGCTCTGGTGTATTTTAAAATGGTTCCTTTTTCCTTCTTCCTGCCAGCCCCACAAGGGAATGTTTTCAGGTATTCTCTGTGTGAAGCTGGTTGAGCTCCTGCAGGTGAAATTCACAACAAGGGGGGAGCATCCCTGACTCGGTGACCTGGAGATTTTAACTCTCAGGCTTGTGTGAACACGGAGCCTCCAGCAATTTGTCAATTGCAGTTCAGGTTTCCTCACCACCAGTCACCCTGGTCAGTGCCTGTGGGCTTCTGCTCTGGCAAGTTGCCATTCTCTGTGTTGGCATGTCAGTCTTTTCCAATTTGGAACAGAGGTTTGCCTTATGGCCTTACTTCTCTTACAGATGCAAAGAGAGTTGCTGCTTTTTGCAGTTTGTCAGCTTTTTACTTGCTGTTAGGACAGAGTGGCAACTCCCAGCTTTTTGCATAGCTTACTGGAAACCAGAAGTTTAGCAAAGTTCACACCGTCTACTGTAGTAAGGACTCAACCCTCATTGAAGCTTTTATTTCGTTCATAGTTATGTTGGACCCATGACTGCAGCACACACTTTTTAATCTTTGACCAGATTACTTCTTTGATCAATATTGCAATGTAATGTATTTACAGTGGGATTCTATAGGATTTGTACATTGTGAAGATTGCGAATATAAATGTTTACTATTATGATGCAATAGATAAACTCACGTTAAGCACATAGCAACTATGAGTTAGTTGAAGAGGCCTCTATGCAAAATAAATACAGAGTACAATAAGCAATGAAAACCAGTACTTAGTCATGGTATCCAAAAGGCTTATGGTAAAATCCATGCTAAAGATACACAGAAATATACTGATTATATATTCTTCCTTGATCTGTTCGCTTTCATATCGCTTTCACTTACATATCATCAAACTACAAAAGAAAGGACCTGTTTACCAGAAAATCTACCATAAGTGTGTGGGGGTGGGGAGAATATGGGGGTAAGGCTACATGGAGGAGTGGTTGCCACATATTACAATAATGACTTGTGGAATTCTCTGCACGTATCAGTGCCTTAGGGTAAATGATTAAAACAAACAATGATAACATCAGCCTGACATTCTTTGTTATTGTTGTTGCTGGTTGCATTGCACTCCCATTTAGCTGTCAGGCTCTGTGGCACCCATGGTGGATGGGTCATCAGTCCTTAGGCCCACACAAATGCTGGGCCTGCAGTAGACACCAAAGAACGTGTAGGCGAGGAGAAATTAAAGAAGAAACCTACCACTTATTATTTCTATATCTGCCAAGTGGCAATAGTATTATTGTGGATGTCTTTGGAATTAGTGAGCCTCCAAGTTACCATTTAAAATAGAATATTGTTATAGGATTCAAATATAGAATTTTATGTCATTATTACCACTTAGCACTTTAAAATATGTGTACATCTAGGGGAAGCACCAACATAAAAGCAGGTTACTCAGAGAAATGAAAAACCTTCCTTTAGCAAAGAGTCGAACCTGAGAAGATATGACAGAATAGCACCTTTTGGCTGGGAGAGGACAGTGGGGAATAATTAGAGCCAGTCCCTGAGGAAGTCATCCCGGGAGCCATGGGTAGCTGCTGGGAATCTGTGGGAGGGGATACCATCCAAAGCAAGCAAAGGCTTCCTAGTTTGCCTTGGAGCTGACCCTGAGCACCAGTGAGATTTAACAAATAGTAAGCAAGACAGCAATTATGCATAGATAAAAATCCAGCAATACAAGAAAAAAGATGGGAAAGGGGAGAAAGGGAAGGGGTCGTTGACCATCCTGGATGAAGAGGTTTTGTGTGTGGCCAGCATGGTGCCTGGGAGTCCAAAAGTGCCCGGGTTTCCTGGGCTGCGCTGCCCCCTGCACCGCTTCCATGGTGTGTGCCGGACGGAGGGCTGGGCTTGAGTGTTCGTGCAGGAGAATAAGTGCATGTATTTAAACACTAGAATCATTCTGAATGCAACGAGATGCTATGAGACATCTCTGAAGGAAGAAATGGCTGGGGGGTGGGGGATTACTTATGTGAAGAGAAGAAAAAATTGCAATGTGTATCTCTTGTCCTAGACTGAATCCAGTCCAAATGTCCTTTGATGGGAATGCTAGAATTTGCTGCACTATTTGAACTTGTATTTCTCTCATTTTTTTAGAGCTTTATGCACAGAGTTGCCTTTGCACTCACATTGCAGTGCTGCAGCGTTTGTATATTTGAACTTAGGTTGTTTTTATATTGTTACTTAATTGCCTTCCATGAAAACTTAATAGAAGTCTGTATACCTGTTTATGTAATGTCTATGACAAGAATACCTACAAAGTGATATTCAGATGTTATCAATTGTATTGAATGCTCATTATGATTTAGACAGTGTCCTACTTATTAGCATAGACCGTCCATCCTCCTCAGGTCATTGCTGTAAAGTAGGCTTTTTAAAAACACTCATTTTTGAAATAATTAAAGATTCATGGAAAGCTTGAAAAACATAGTGCAGAGAGGTCCTGTGAATTCCTCACTTAGTTTTCCTCAGCGGTTACATCTTGCATAACTATAGTCTGATATCACAGCCAGGATGTTGTCATGGATGTAATGTATGTGCATACACCTGCATCATTTTATCACATGTGAGATTTGTGGAACCAGTGAACTCAAGATAAAGAACTGTTCCATCATCACAAAGATCTCCCTTGTGCTACCACTGAGGGTCCTCCCACCATCCCGAACACCTGGCCATCAGTAATCTGCTCTCCATCTTTATAATTCTGCAGTGTCAAGAATGTCATGTAAATGGAATCATGGAATGGGTGACCTTTTGAAACTGGGGTTTTTCACTCCATATAGTTCCCTGAGGTCCATGCAAGTTGTCACAAGTGACATGTCCTTTTGATTGCTGAATAGTATTCCATAGTGCAGGTGCACCATACTTCCTTCACCTATTGCAGAAAATATTTGTCTTCAGTTCTTTTGGCTACTACAAGTATGGATTTTTGTGATGTGTGTTTTCAAAAAAATATAAATCACATTTCAGAGCTGAGATGGAGAAGATAAATTGTCCAGAGCACAGAACATTTTTCCAAACCCGGATGCTTTTACTTTATCTCATGTGCGGTTTACAATGATCTTTGGAATATGTGTGAATAAACTATTCTGTCGACAGTGTAGAAAAGTAATTATGTATTTGATTACATCTTCATAAACTATTGGTTTTAGAAGACTATCTGCTCACTTAATGGTTTTCAGCATCCTGTGTGCATATCAATTGGCTCATTTATTCACTAAAACTATAGTGTTAGTGCCATTAGGTGCCAGGCCCTGTGCTGTGTGGCAGAGCAGGTGCCTGACCCAGAAGGGCATCTCTAAAATACTGTTTGTAGCATAGAGGTAGCTTGCTCTATGTTTGCTGGTTTTAATAGTTTTATAGTTAGAAAAATGCCTACTCGCAGATAAAGTGACTGCTATACTAATATTTTGATGTATATTCTTAAGTTTAAATTTTCTGAAAGATGTGAGTATTTTGCCTCATCTTAAGAAAGCAGCTGCTGAGCGTGTGCGCACAGTACACAATCTGATCTGCAAGGCACGCGGCTCAGTGCTTCTCTCAAACCGGTGAGGTGCAGGTGGATTTTTATTTGCAGCTTGTTCACAAATTAATTTCTTCTACTTAGTCTGTGTCTCTTTCCTCCAACAGCATGAAAAATTAATCAACCGGCCACAGACTACCAAAAGAATTTCTACAGATCCTCTAGGTAAGAGTGCCCTCACTACAGAGGTGTTTTTGTTTTCTTGTATGTTATGTGAATTCCTTTATAAAAAAGAACAGAGAACTTTGCAGGTAAACAATCATTAGGTTTCTCAGGCTAATAAATGTTTTCCTTTGGAAGTCATGCACATTTAAATCAAAGCATACTTGAATGGAGACATAATTAAAATTATGTTAATATCTACAAGAAATATGTAGCCTACTAAGTAATATTTTACCAAGATAACTAGTAATTGCTTAGTTTGGTAAGTAGACCACTGCAGTTTGTTCTGAAATGCTGACTGTTAATTGTGAGTCCTAAAGTATGGCCACTTCAAATCTACATTTGAGGGCAAGGGACTCTAAGCGGAGGTACACTGGCATGAAACCACATGGAACCCGTGACATTTGATTGTGGTTATGCATAAATCAACAACATAACAATGATGCAGATTTAAGGGTAGAATTTCACACTTTTATTCTATTTTAGCCTTTGAAACAATTCATTCTGTGATGTTAACAGTTACTACCGCGATAATCTGTTGGTCTCTAGGAGACATGAGTGAGTGTGTTTTGCTTCTGTGTCAGACACACCATTGATGGTGAGCCTTCCATTCAGGGGTTAACTTTACAGATTTGCACAGAAAATGTGCAAACTTTACTAAATGACATTAGAAGAAAGTAGGATGGGAATAAATCTGTGTTATATGTCTTCCCAGAGGCAACAAAACTGTTTTCAAAGACAGAGCAGGCGATACAGCAAAAAGAAAACAAAACAAAAAAATACCAAAGCCAATTCCCCCCAACAAGAATCCAAACGAAACCAATAGCAGTAGATGAAAGCCCAGCACGTTTGTTCACTTTTAAAGAGTCTGAGGTTCAAAGAATTCTTACTACCATTGCCACAACCACTGGAGAGCACAGGGCGTCCCCATGCCCCCCACGTGCACCAGGGAGCCCTGGGTTGGTATAGTACATGGGGTCGCATGAGCAACGCCATCTGAGCTGCTGCAGGAAGGAGTGAGGTTCAAGCAGGATTCAACAATAAAAGCTTTAAATGCTAAGTTAAGGAGTTCAGACCATAGTCTAGAAGAGATTTACTAACAAGGAACAAATGAGATCAGATTAGACTAAACACTTCTCTTTATTAGTTGTGTGGAAGACTAAAGTTAGCCAAAACTGATAGCGGGGATATGAATGAGAACCCTGGTCCCTGCAATTCTCCAGAAAAGAGAGTCAGGTCATGACTGAGTGAGTCAGTATGTCTGGAAAGTGGGGGAAATATGAGACGTGTTTAAGAGTTAGGACCAATAGGACTTGGGTCCAGGGGATGAGCAATAGGCTTTCAGAATTTTGAATAATATTACATGTTTTCACTTACTCAACTGAGTGGTCACATTTACTAAAAAAGTTGATCCAGTGAAGGCTCAGGAGAGAGGGAAAGGCTGAAGCCGGTTTTGAATTGAGAAGCACGGAGTCTGAACTGGCTGTGATATACTCTGGTAAAGACAACTAGGAGATGAACACTGCAAATGCTACGCCAGGATCTAGGAAAACAAAGCCAGCGAAGCCGGATGAAGATAGAGCAGATCTGGGCTGTCTCACAAAGCGAGATGCCAGGGCAGGGAGAGTTGATGGATTCATGCAGGGGAGGGGTACACATAGAGGAGGCTTGAGACAGGAAGCAGCAATTCAGCCGTATCACAAGGAAGAGACTCCGCAAAGCGGGAGGAGGCACGTAGCAGGAGAGGGAGCCCACGGGAAGGAGGAAAATGCCTGTGACGTCAAAGGAGGTGCAGACGGAGAAGCAGCTGTTGTGGAGTAATTTGGAGGGCTCTGGGAAGGCGCAAAGGCTCAGTTGAGCCTGAAGCAAGGGTCTGAGAAGTGAGTTGGTAGTAGTGAACTCGCGGCATCAAGTTTACACTGGGCATTAAAAGATTTTGTGGTCGCGCTGGCCGGTTTGGCTCAGCAGTTACAGTGTTGGACCCAAGGGTCAAAGGCTCTATTCCAGGCAGGTACGTGGGTTGCAGGTTCAATACCCAACCCCAGGCAGGGTTTTGTGGGAGGAAGCCAATTGATGTGTCTCTCTCATATCGATATTTCCCCTTGCCCTCCCCACCCCCACTCTCTAAAAATCAACGGAAAAATATCCTCAGTGAGGATTAACAAAACAAACAAAATAAAAGATTTTATGGTGAAAGGCAAAAGATTTATACACTCTGAAGAGAAACCACAGCATAGGTAATACTATAGTCAATAATAGTGCGATAACGGTTGGGTACTGGAAATACCAACGGGAACACTTTGTAAAGTATACGATTATCTAACCACTATGCTGTACACCTGAAACCAATAGAAAATAACACTGAAATTAAAAAAAAATAATAATAAAGTAAAGATCCTTTAGCTCTGAAAAAACATAAAAGATTTCATGGTAAAGTAAGGAAGAGATAGCTCAGTAGCTTGAGAGAGTAGCAAGAACAGAGAAAGAGGGGGCTTGAGAGTGTTTGTGGGAAGTATGGCAAGAACCTGTGGTGAGCCCTGGCCGGTTTGGCTCAGTGGTTAGAGTGTCGGCTTGCAGTCCAGAGAGACCCAGGTTCGGTTCCCACTGGGGGTGCATACCTCAGTTGCAGTTTGTTCCCGGCCCTGGTTGGATTGGTGGTTGGTGACCACTCGATGTGTCCCTTTCGCGTTGATGATTCTCTATCCTGTCTCCCCCTCCCACTCTATCTGAACAAAAATATTGAAAAATGTCCTCGGGTAAGGATTAAAAAAAAAAAAAACCTGTGGTGAGTAGGAGATTCAGGAACAGGTGTGAAGGGAAATTACTTGATGAAAAACACTGTGGGGGACGGAATCTGGCAAACACGAGGAGTGAGATTTTGTAAGAAAATGATTTTGAAATAAAAACAAGGTTAGGAAAACTCAGGTCAAATGGCTTTGGGTACAGTAGGAGAAACAGACCTTGGCTGAGTGAAACAGAACGAGTGTGAGTTTGGGGCAGAAGAGATTTGGGTCATTACTCTGAAAAATTTTAAATCGAGTTCAGGAAAAAGATTTTTTAATGGATTTGTAAGCTGCTAAGGGCTCAAATGGTGTAAAAAGCATACAGTTTGTTGATCACATTCAGCATAGGTTCATAACCCGGGCAGCCCGGTAGTTAAATGCAGTGAGTGAAGCAGGGTTGGGGATTGACAAACAGAACAACGAAAGCTAAGGAGGACCGCAGAGTTAGGGGAGATGCAAGACCTTTCTTGATGCACATAGCTGGTCATTAGGAGCAGCCTGTGCAACCCAGTAGGGCTGACTGGATGGCCGGGGCATCAACAGAATGACTGTTAGTAGTGATGGGAGAAGAAGGATATGGAGCAGCAGAGGCTGTGGAAGTTTGGAGGGGCCGGTGGGAAGTAATATTGAGAAGCTGAGGCCATGGAGCTGGAACAACTCTGCTTGATGATGAAACATGAGAGCCGGCCAAAGAGTTAGTTTCTACTATAGAGTCACACACAGGTCATTGGTGTTGACAAGATTAAGACACTATTTGGTCAGTGATGTTACTGCTGATCAATACAATTGCTGATAATTCTGCCTGCCGATGGCAACAGCTAGACGATGTGGATAGGGAGAGGAAGGCCCACCCAGGGACCATGGATGTAAAAACCAGCAAGCACCCTGTGCGAGGGGAGCAGAATGCTAGTTTGAAAGTGACAGAGGAGAGCAAGGAGGTGTTGATTCTGTTTCCTGAAAATGGAGGCACAGACAAGCGAATGCTTCGTGGTGTGAAATCAGGTGCGATGTGTGTGAGCAGGCAGATGGAAGGAATACTTGAGTCGAAGGTGGCAGATGTTCTTGTTCACACCAGACCAGGGAAATGGCGTGGGAGTGAGCTTGAGACTGCGTCACAGCGACGTGACGCAGGTGAGTGCTGGCCATGTGGAAGGAGACAGACAGCAGGGGTGGGGGTTTACTGAGCGTGATGGGTCTGAGTTACACAGTGAAGAAAATAATAGAAAAATGAATCATGAGTTTAGGTGGCCAACAGGAGTCACAGGGTAAGGGAAGAGGTATGTTGAACATACAGGATATTTTCAGAGGGGATGTCTGTGGTTCTAAACACTAGTCCGGAGGCCAGGGGAACTGTTGGTGTGAAGAACCTTCCACAGAACTGCTCATTGGCTAGTGGACCATGGTGAGCCTCTGGGTGTCCTGTTGGGTGCATGTGTGAGAACTGTCCAGCTGCTCGTATAATTTATACATGAGATGAGTATTAATTAAGGAAAGTATTTTTTGAACCTAAACATATCCTTCGCCATAAGTGCTACTTAAAGTAGGGTTGGGAGCTTGTTAAAAATGCCAAGCTTTGCCCCACCCTAGCCCTGATTGAGTCCACGCTCTGGGACAGGCTCTGTAAACCGCTCTCTAGGGAAGCCCCATGAGAGGCATCTCCAGCCCAGGCGTTCGCCAGGGGAAGCCCCCAGAAACTCCAGCCTCTCGCCCGTCCACCGGGTGGCCCAGACCTGTGTGTTGCTCAGAGGACAAACCAGAGAGCATGAGGCCCTGTGAACAGGTGAGGAGGGTGAGGGAAGCACATCCCCGGGGAGAGCCCTAACGCTGCGCCCCCCTTGCCTGGCAGACGCCCCATGGGACCAGGTGCTCCGCTGGCTGGCGGCCCAGCTCTCGGAACAGGACGCCGCAGGCCTCTCCTCGTCCCTCCCTCTCCGCAGCAGCGCCGTTCAGCTCATCAAACTGAAGAACCCCGATGACCTCACGGAGCAGATCCATGCACTTCTTTGCTTCTGGAAAAAATCGCTCCCAAATTCCACCGATAAACGTCGCCTCCTGGCTCGTCACCTCCGCAAGATCGGCAGGAGCGATCTCTCCAAAGAGCTCAGGTTCAAGTGGGAAAAGGGCGTGTTCACAGACCCGCGGCAGGGGGCGGACGTGGCCCAGTAAAGCCGGTGCCCTGTCTCTGGGTCAGAGTTGGTTGGAAGATCGTTTCTGTCCACATTTTACCAGCGGCTCCGAGTCACGTTGTTGGAAGTGAAGCTGTCTGCTCCATGTGCTACTGGGACGGGCGGCCGAGCGCTGATGGGACAGCAAAGGCTCCTGCCTGTTCAGACAGATGCTCACAAGCAGGACTGTCTCGGGTCCAGCCAAACTGAGTAGCGTTTGGAATAGAATTTTCTCTATTCACATTTTAATTGCTGAGGTCGCTTTCTGGGTATAAAGAAAATATATACAGAATCCCCTTTTTATTGTTTCTACAATAACGATACACTGTTACCTATCTACAGACAATACACTGTTACCTATCTATAGAAGAGTGAAATAGTTATCCAGGATTCCAAGCAGCTAATCCTTGTTAGGTGCCTACAGTGGAGCCCACAGGTAATGATGCCAAATAAATTGGGCTGTAGAGACCTGCTATGGATGATAGCCAATCACTTTCCGAAAACAGACAAGCTCTAAGTAAGTTAAAAATAGAATAGTCCTGGCTAGTTTGTCTCAGTGGTTAGAGCATCGGCCTGTGGTCCAGAGAGATCCGGGTTTGGTTCCGCTCAGGGCATGTACCACGGTTGCAGTTTGTCCCCGGCCCTGGTTGGGTTGTGTGGGTGGCAGCCACTCGATGTGTCCCTTTCACGTTGATGTTTCTCTCTCTCTCTCTCTTCCTCTCTCTCCCTCCTACTCTATCTGAACAAAAAATGGAAAAATGTTCTCGGGTGAGGATAAAAAAAAAATAGAATAACACTTCAGTCATTTACTGCCACAAACTTTCCTTTTTCTAACATGCAGCCTGATACAGGGAAACCCCTCATATTTTATTATGAGTGGGATGAGCACAGTGCAGAGGAAATGCAGTCTCGGGAAAGAATTCAGGGCCCTCTTACCTACTTGGAAAGAAAACTGCTTTTAAATCACTTTCAGAGAAGCCTTATTATGTTAAGCCCTATAAAAAATAAAAAAAGTGCCTGTCCGGTGTGGCTCAGTGGTTGAGCGTTGACCCATGCACCAAGAGCTCACCGGTTCAGTTCCTGGTCAGGGCACACGCCCAGGTTGTGGGCCCCATCCCCAACGGGGGCGTGCAGGAGGCAGCCAATCGATGTTCTCTCTCATCCATGCTTCTCTCTCTCTCCCTCTTGCTTCCTCTCTCTGTAAAAATCAATAAAGGAAAAAAAAAATGTTTTTAATAAAAAAGCAAAAATCTCCCCCAAATGAAAAGAAACACATAGTAATTACAAAATCCCCTCTGTTACTGATACTCCCTGTTAATGTCTAATGCATAAGCTCTGAGACCGGACAACCGGAAACAGCGTGAAATGAATGGGGCGTTCCATTAGCTTTACCAATTAATTAATGCAAGCCATCAGGGCCCTGGCTTGCAAGCAGCCGTAGCAATTAGCTTCAATTATTGAATGCCTAGAAATTAATGAAATTACATAAAACATTAAACATTTATATGGTTCTGAAACTTCACATCAAGATTTCCTGCAATGAATTAACCAGGAACTGCCTTACATACCTATCTGGTTATATATTTAAAAGGGGAGTCCAACTTTCAAACACTTTCCTATTAAGAAACATTTATTAGTCAATATTTTTATTATTTTCACAGAATGGTACGATCTGTTTCTTGGAATGAAGACAACAGGCTGAGTTGTTTATTGTTTTTCTGACTACCAAATAACAAAAATAAAGAAAATAAAAGTCTCCTCCTTTTCCAACACCAGAGATCACTATTGCAAACATTTCTGGTGTCTTTCCTTTCAGGGTTTCTTTTTCCCTGGAAGGACTTGTTTTTAGTTCTATGTATAGAAATGTATATAACACGCTCACCCACGTGCTCAGATGCACACCTACTAACGCTTATAAACCCCTTCACACACATCACCTCACTCACTCAAATTCTCACTCACTCACACTCACCCCTCTCCACGTCCTCACACCCCACGTGCTCTCTCACTCACACACACTCACTCACACTCACCCCTCTCCACATCCTCACACCCCACGTGCTCTCACTCACACACACACTCACACTCATCCCTCTCCACGTCCTCACACCCCACGTGCTCTCACTCACACACACACTCACTCACACTCATCCCTCTCCACGTCCTCACACCCCACGTGCTCTCACTCACACACACACTCACACTCACCCCTCTCCACGTCCTCACACCCCACGTGCTCTCTCACTCACACACACACACACACACTCACACTCACCCCTCTCCACGTCCTCACACCCCACGTGCTCTCTCACTCACACACACACACACTCACCACTCTCCACATCCTCACACCCCACGTGCTCTCTCACTCACACACACACACACACACACTCACCCCTCTCCACGTCCTCACACCCCACGTGCTCTCTCATTCACACACACACACACACACTCACACTCACCCCTCTCCACATCCTCACACCCCACGTGCTCTCTCTCACTCACACACACTCACTCACACTCACCCCTCTCCACGTCCTCACACCCCACGTGCCCTCTCACTCACACACACTCACTCACACTCACCCCTCTCCACATCCTCACACCTCACAAGCTCTCACTCACACACACACACTCACTCACACCCCTCTCCACATTCCCACACCCCACAAGCTCTCTCACTCCCACACACTCACTCACACTCACACTCACACCCCTCTCCACATTCCCACACCCCACAAGCTCTCTCACTCCCACACACTTCTAACAAGAACATCCTTGAACACACATATACCCCCTTTACTCACACACAGACTCACACCCACCTGCACATCCTCACAACCACACATATTTGATCACAAACACCCACCTGTCACACACAAATGCACTTAGTCCCATACAACCCCATATGCACACACCCCTTACACGCATAGTCTCAGATCCAGTTTTACACTCTTACATGTGCTTTCACAAACTCACACACCTCATGACTGCATCTCATAGGCACATATACTTATTAACATACATATTTTACAGACATGCACACACACAACCACACCATCTCACTTTACCTGTATATCTTTACACACACACACATACACACACAAACACACATACCTCACAGGCACAACATCCCTTCACATACACACTCTGACAAACATTTCTCCCCAGAATGAAAAAAAAAATGCATCTATTATTGCAACAGTAAGAAACATATGAAGGTCTACAAAGAGAAAAAGTGGATCACCTCTCCAGCACCTCCTCTCCCTCAGGCACTCAAAGGAATCAGTCCCATGTACATGCGGCACGAGCCTCCTGCGTTCAGAGTGCCATGCCCATGCCCATGCCCATGCCCCACCTTTCTGCAGCCTGCTCTGTGCCTGCCAGGATGACCCATGGGGACCACATCAGGGATGCCTCTGGCTTCTCACTGGGTTTGGGTAATGGAGACCCGGGTGGGGGAGGCGGGAGTTAGGTTATTCTCCTTTCACTCCCTGTACATTCCGTGTGGCCAAGCCGTGTCGCACCCACAGGCCACTGCGCAGCTCCTGCTCAGCAGCCCTCCTGGCTTCGCTTCAGGCCTGGGAGTAACGGCCGCACTGCCCTGTGGCCCTCCGCACACTGCCACCTCAAGACGACGCTTCTCTAACTATCTTCATTCGAGGTATCGCATGTTTCATACGGAGCCCCTGACACTTCTTGTAGCAGCCTGCACATGGTTTTCTAGAATGAGGTTCTATATTATACATATCGTTTAAACATTACTGTCTTTTAGGAAATTACGAGCATTTTCCAATGTCTTTCTTTAACTGTTTCTTTTCTTTTTTTTTAATCCTCACCCGAGGACATTTTTCCATTTTTTGTTCAGGTAGAGTGGGAGGGAGAGAGAGGAACAGAGAGAGAGAAACATCGATGTGAAGGGACACATGGAGTGGTTGCCACCCACACAACCAACCAGGGCCGGGGACAAACTGCAACCCAGGTATGTGCCCTTAGCGGGAACCGAACCCGGGTCTCTCAGGACCGCAGGTCGACGCTCTAACCGCTGAGCCAAACCGGCCAGGGCTCTTTAACTGTTTCAATAGCTGTATAAAACCCCATTTCATAGCATTGCCCTATTAATTTTAGTATTACTTATTTTGGAAATTTTGAAAACTGGAATGATGCAATATTTTTAAAAATTATTTCTGGCTTTTTATTTATTTATTTTATTTATTTTTTATCTTCACCCGAGGACATTTTTCCATTTTTTGTTCACATAGAGTGAGAGGGAGAGAGAGGAAGAGAGAGAGAAACATCAACGTGAAAGGGACACATCGAGTGGCTGCCACCGGCACGACCAACCAGGGCTGGGGACAAACTGCAACCGAGGTACGCGCCCATAGCAGGAACTGAACCCCAGTCTCTCTGGACCGCAGGCCGACGCTCTAACCGCTGAGCCAAACCGGCCAGGGCTATTTCTGGCTTTTTAATTCAACTTTCCGTTGTTAAAATTCATCCATGTTGCTTGGCAATAGTTTGTTCCTTCTCACTAATATATGATATTTCATTACATGCATATACTACAAATTACATGTGTATTCCACTGTAGAAAGTGCTTCCGAAGATTCCTGTTTGGAGCTGTTATAAACAATGTTTTTTTGAACATCTGTACATACCTTTTATGGATTGAACATATATATTTATTTTTTCTAAATATATACCTAAGAGCATAATGATTGGTTACCATAATTAACTTAATGTTTCCCTCTTATTGTCTATTCAGGTGACTTCCTTCTTTTCATAAAAATAACACTATAATGACCATTTTTCTACAGAAGTATGCAAATTATTATTTCATGAGGGTTAGTGTTTAGAAATGGGATTACCTGCTAGGAACATTTTTAAGGTTCTTGATACACTTTACCAAATTGCCTTTTTATATTCTAATCATTGGGTTATGAAGATTCTTAGAAAAATATTATTTTCAGATATCTATCTATCTATCTATCTATCTATCTA